TCATGAAATATAACTGAGAAGTTGCCAGCTGCTCTAGAAAATCATATATATACGTATTTATTTTAGTCACTTTATAATGAAAATAATGCAAGTGTGTCATATTGTATCCATAAAAAGTTTACCACAGTTTTCCTCTTCTTTGTTGTGTTTGTTTGTGGAGGGGGGGAAGTATAGAAAATGCTACTTTTATATTGACATTTTTATATTTATATACAGTTTTTATGTATTTTTTAAAATTTATTGTTGTGCCCAAGCTACTTTCAGTAGGGTGGGTGGCTATAGAAATTTGTTTCATAAATAAAAATAAATTCATTTTCCACCATACTGAATAATGAAATTCCATGCAGTATGAAAATCAAATCTTTTTAGCAGTTCCATCGCCTGGATTGTGAATTTAGCAGCCTGGATGAAATTTTATAAGAAGTGATAGCAATTAATTGGGTGGGGACCAGAAATGTCCGTTAACTACTATCTGCCAATTAAAGGTAAAATCCTGTTGGATAATATTTTTAGGACAGTCAGTAGTGCTATAGAAATAGGCTGTTCATTGATGTGAAGTCTGCTGCTTTAATTAGCAGAATACATCTGTCTTGATAGGTCTATAGAAGCAAAAGGAAGTATATTGAGTGTTTTCCAAATAATAAAAATTTCAAGACTGTGATCCTTTATGCCAGCCTTCCCCAGAATTGATGTTGTTCAGAGTCATGGGTTTTAGGTCTGAGGTGACAACAAGCAGGATTTCTCTGTTAGATCCTCTTAATAGGTTCCTCAAGCAACAGACTGACCTCATCTTAGCATTTCTTACATGTATTCTTCTTACTATCTTCTGTTACACCCTCTTGCCTCACCCCAATTTTGCCTCCAGCTCGTCCACAGGCTGCAAGATATTCCTGTGCAGCGGGTGCCTTATAAATATTGTTTCACTATCACTGGTTAATCAGCCCCACGTGTCAACTTTCCTGATGACAGATTTTACGCTTTTCAAGCTGCTCTATACAGCACATTGGTTTTGTCTCCAAATCTGTCTTTGTACCGGTAGAACTTGTAGTTATCAGATTCCAGTTGCAAAGATTCAGATTAACCTGAACTCGGTTGAATTTTGCGGCATGCTTCTGCTGTTTTAAACGCAATTGCCTGTATGCAGCTCAGAGTTCATGGCAATGTTTAGCAGCTGAAGGGGCTGAGCTGCATTTGAGGCAGTCTGGTCCAATGGATGAGTCTGCTTGGAAAGACAAACGTGCCCCTGCGAGCCTTATGCCAAATCTTGCACTCACGAAATAGAGGAAATATTGTTCTCTGCTTTTTCAAATCTAGCAACAGAAACATTCCAAGTCTTTTTTTGTTATGCTATTATAGAAGCAGATATTCCTTTTTTCGCCTTACCTTCCTGGAAACAATGGTCTTCCTTTTCCTTCCTTCCTTCCTTCCTTCCTTCCTTCCTTCCTTCCTTCCTTCCTTCC